TTTGTGTTTGTACAATGCGCTGTTCTAGGCCAGTAGTATGAGCTGAGTCAGCGTTCAACTTATAAAATGTAGCACGGCCTTGGTTCTGCGCCACAATCTCCAGCCGGGACAGCACGTCAAACAATAGTCTGTTAGTGGAAAGATATTTTACTATACGCTGGTGATCATCCTATTTTGTACTTTATCAAGCAGTTACTGAAATAGGCTCGAACTAACAGCACGAGTTTCTCCTGTTAGTGACGTTCGAAGGATGCTCCTACACGCCAAGCGCAGCTATGCTAGGTCCTTTGGTCCCGGGCCGCATACCTCCAGTTAGTACCCCTCACATGTTCTGTATATGTGTGTCACTTCTTCGGAGGTTACCTAAATGGTTCCTTACTTTTCTGTGGGCACTACTCAATAACATGCATTACCCACTAGTTATCGGCAAACATGCGTATATATTCATATAAATATGCCTTTGAATACGTACAATACATAAAAGAAGTAAATGTATGCTTGAATTTCTATAATGGAATATGCTCATACCAAGTGTTTGGGCGATCTTGATACTCTTGTCTTAAAGATTCTGAATCTCTAGAATTCTCCAAAAAGCAGGGAACGGAGGACAGTTTCGTCTATTAATAATTTCGACAAACTTCCTTACCCGAAAACGTGATGATTTTACGGCAGCGAAGGAACGTTCCCGTTCAGCTTTAAAGTAAATTGCCGGAATAGCAAATAGCAACAGAGCTACGGTTATCGAACTGAGTACTGTGGTGCCCACAGCCAAATGATGGAAATAATCACTGCTGCTAGCCATTTATTTCTGGAATTTTCCTTTCGAAAATACAAATTAAGAATTACTAAATTGCTTTAAAAAAACTGTTTCTGGGAACGCTTAAGGATGTGCAGCAGAAGAGAAAAAATGGGGGAAGTGTTCGAAAAGCAATTTTGTTATACAAGCTTACAAAATATACTGTTTCAGCTAAGAAATACCACTGTCATCGTAGGAGACAAAATCAGCAGCTTTGAATGGAAATAAGAGTGACCAAAAAGTGACCAGGAGCGAAGGGTATGAGTGACTTGGTCACTAGAATCTATGGGCAGCACTGCTTTGGCTAGAAAGTATCATTTTCATCCGAAGCACGTAAAATGACCTCTTTCTGGACAATAGTCCGGAGTGTGGTTGGTGAGTCAGGATTTTCTGGACGCAAATTTCGGATATAAGGAGTTGTTTTTAAGGGTGATAACGATGGTGCTGTGATGACCTGTTGACCGTGGTCGTCGCCATCAATCAGTTGCTAAATTTTTTTTCCTGATTTTCGTTCCCGATACTAGGGCACTGTGTCAAACAGCACCCCCTTCCTGCAATAGGACCCCATCCATCCATCGTTCTCCTCCAGCCCCTCACCTGTTCTCCCTACCAGCTTTTCCAGAACGTTAAAAAAAGTCTGGATTCAGAACCAGGTCAATTGGTAATGCTTTTCAGAAGATAAATTTCAATTATTGCTGCCATTTTGATGTAAAAAAAAATATCTTCTCGTAACTGTTAATTTTAAAAAAGTCCAAAACACATCTAAGTATATGTAAAAAGTTGTACATCCCTAGATAAAATTGATATCAATTCTTAACATTTGCCTCGTACGTCTGCACTTCTTCCAGATCGCTAGTACTTTTCGTCAATAGACTAGAACTGGCAGCATTTCACATAAGGTGGTGGCCTGTGGTAATCTTTCCCATTTACTTCCATACGCGCAAAAAGTTTGGTTTTATAAGGATAAGATAAGCTATCTTGTTTTTCAAATACGCCTTAACAATCAGCTACTATTAGCTTTTTGTTTTTTTTGGGGACAAAAAAATAACTCTACTTTTTGTTCTTTTCTTTCATGAATAATTCTGCTTTTGCTGATTTTCCCCCTCTGTACGCTCCTAATATGGAATTCGATCCATTTTTATGCGTTTTTTGCAGCTATGCATTGCAAAAAACGTATATTGACAAGAGGTTGC